TACCACAGACAGGTTTACAACAGGCCTTGCCAGATGGTTCAAGTCTGATGTCACCTTAGTTGTTATTAGCCTTCCGACAAAACACGCGTTTAAGATAATCGCCAAAGGTATATGGCACCCCAATCTATGCTAAAGCTGAAATAATTCACAATACCAGGACAGGAAAAACATTGTCGATGTAGAGAAGGGCTGAGAAGAGAAGGCTACTAGCAGGGCCCAGAGTCCATTCCGTGGAGGTACAAATGCAATACGATAGTGATTTATCCCTCGGTATTGGTGAGGTGCCACTTTTGTACTTTGAATTAGCCCCCTTGTACCTCGCTGGGTCGGCTGGCCTTTTGGGCCATGCCAATGGCCCAGACACCTTCTCTGCGCTGAATATATATTCTACCCGAGTATTTTGTCTTCCTTCGTCTTCAGGGAGTCCCGGGACGCTACACAAAATCGCAAAATTAAGTAACCGCATAATCACAGTGTAGAGATAAGCAGATAATCAAGGCATTTAAAAGGAAAGTCAATTTTAAACATTCCGTTGAGAATCTTTACAATTCCAGCCATCAGTGAAGGAAGTTCTTCTTTCGTAACGCATTCAGCCATAGAAATTCGGGTATGCCCTTTTGGATCGGGTTTGTTTATTGCTGTTAACAATTTAATATTTTCATTATTTCTCTATTTTAGCTCCGGCTCCATAAATCGCATAGAAAAAATTCTGAAGAAAAAAAATCCTTCATTTGCATAAATTGGGTGACACTCACAGGTCACCCGAGAATATGTGGGATCAGATATTGTTTACACCTTGGAAACCTGTGAATTCTGCTCAGCCATCAGTTTTGTGCAAAATAACCACTTGTCACCTGATAAATGCTGCATTGCTTTGATAATTTGCAGCTTTTTCATTTGATTAGCTGTTCCCAATGCTTGCACTTCCTTTTGGTGGCATGGCTCCCAAACCATGGCGGTAGCCGCAGCTCTCACGGTAAACTCGAACTGCTATTGACTATCCAAGCGATCATAGAGTACAACATTTTTGGAAAAATCACCAAGATCGAATAATTAGTCGACTTTCTTTTTGATAAAATAAGATTGAATTTTTTAAAGATGAGACCTACGGAAATGAGTTACTCCAAAAATATAAAATAGGTCTGAAAAACATTTCTACGCTACTTAAGACCTGATAATGCCTCATATAGATAGCATTTCATATGTCAGTCAATGTTTTTATGAAAAATAACCTCGTTTATCGCATTTTATAGGTGTTCTGCAGCCGCTCTGGATTCCCTTTAGCCAGTAAATTAGCAGGGGAACTATTGTCTTGCGCTTAGTTCATTCATCTCTGTCATCCCTTCCCAGGCACAGGATTAGGGTAAAATATGAATTTGGGCATCAAATTAATGCTTCTGCTAGTAATATTTGCATAACCAGGCCATTTTATGAACTTAAGCTCCGGTTATCACCAAGAGAAATCGGGGTAGCTGTCTTCTAGGTTTGGAGTAGCTCGTCGCTGCCATTGATGCAGCTCATCCCACCTTCTCCAAATTTGCAAAGAGCTGAGCCATGATGAATGAAGGTATATGAATAACGTACGTCATTACTGGGACAATAATGGCATGGCTAAATAGCAACATTGTCGAGTGGAGACAACTAGCAAGAGTTAAGGAGGCGATGTGATTAAACTTAGTGTCTAGCAAATTGCCAAACCCCTACCTCATAACATAGAAGGTATTGGGATAGTAATACTGGCGTCTTGGTCCGTCGAAGAGTTAGGGATCCGCAAGTGATTAATTTTATAAAAGAATTATTTGAATCAGTGCCATATTTGCTTTAACTGAGTGGGAAATCTGCGGCGAAGACTAATAATCCGTGCTATTTGCTACATGTTTTAACTTAAAAGGAGTGCAAGCCGTATAAATTAGCTGAATATGGGTAGTAAGGCATATTTTCTTTTTATGCATTATATTAAACCATCGAACTATTGGGCTCTTCAAGACTGAAGTATAAAGGGTGTGCTAAGTACTTTATCCCCATAGCACAGATTACTGGTTTTACTTCAATAGACCTGGAAGACATTAATAATCATCTATTTGTTTTAATAAGCGACGGGTGTTTCTCTCCTGACCTTTCGAGGTTCCAGTTGTTGTTTTTGGTTGGAACTATTTCGTTCTGTAGCGGTCGTCACTGGTTCGATTAGTTACCGGCATATGCATGTTTTTCTTCAGATATTTTTAAAGTTATTTGACATCCTCTTTTCTGTTTCTTCAGTGCTTTGTGGCGGGGCATTCTATTCCAGCATCATTAGGTATTCTTACTGGTATATACTTATTCAGGTTCAGCAACCGTGATTTATTATCGCTGCCTTTTAAATTTAGAGCTTTTTAGCTTGTTTAATACTATATGCGTGCCCGTATTTGGGCGGAGGGTTTCGTTTTTGTCCTTTAAACTTTAGGTATTTTCCAGAGTAGGTTTGTTCTATTCCTATGATACATTTTCTTTGTTTTAGCACTTTGTGTGTAATGTGTAAATTTTGTTGTATTTGCAGGAATCACATTGCATATTTGCACTTAGTTTTAGACGAATTTTAGGTCTACTAATAGGTTCGCATATTTCTTATTTGACATTTGTAATTATCTTCTTGGTCTGGTAAGTAACATGAGTAACTTTAAATTTTGATATTGATTATTCTTTGCCACTCATTGTTTGAAGGCGATTTCTTTGTTAATACTCAGAAAACCTGTGATGTGGTTGATAATACATTCACGTCGTGAATCTGGCTATCGCAGACCAAAGAATTTCCTGAAATGTGTCTCAAATGTGGTTAAACATGGCTTTTATGTACATACATAAAGCCGAAAAATTTTTGGCAGTCGTAGCTTTAAAACGTATTATTCTCCAGAGAGTTGTGTTTCTCTCATTCACATCCTTTTATCTGTAGCCTTATCCGGACTTTCCGAGAAGAATTTGGTGTTATTGATCTTCAAATTTCTCCTTTGAAAAGTACTATCCCATTTTTGAAATTTGATTAAGTTTATTTAAAATGTTTGTCTCAATTTTATTGTAGTTCCTCTATGGAAATCAATTCATTTACTCGCTCTACAAAAAGGGAGATTAATTATAAGCTTACTGTTAAACAAAAGGACGAATTAAAGTGCGCTTTCGACATTTTGGACGAAAGTGGCGTTGGAACTATTGACATTCAGGACATCGTAGTTGTAGTGCGAGCTCTTGGACTTCACGTATCATTAGTTAACATCTCAAAACTTACTCGGCTCTACGATCCGCAAAAAACTGGTACTTGTACATTGTTCTTCCTTAGTTCAAATTCGCATCAGGAACCCTTGATTTCAGAGGATTTCTCGGCATAGTGGAAAAAGTCATGTTCAATAAGTATGTAGATGAGGAAATTGCCAAGGCCTTTCAGATTTATAGCCAAAATGGCGCTGAGTGCATCACTTTTGATGATATTCAACGTGTCGCGAAACAGTTGAACGAAGACATTTCTGACGAGGAATTAGAAGTTGAGTGATATTTTTAAACTAATTGATGTTATTACTTACAGGAACTGTTCAATGGAGCTGATTTGAATAACGATGGTGTTATCGATTTCGACGAGTTTTCGACTATTTTAAGATCACCTTTTTTACAAAACCATGAGACCAAGTGAAAAATAGTGGCGCGCAATTCTACTGAACCAAAGCAAGTAACACTTTATTTGAATTCCATCGTAGTACTTCCATGAACATTTATGCGAAGTTGCCTTTTTTTCCCCGTAACACTATACTCGCACAAATCTTATCATGTTATCTTTCCGATATTGTATTTGAGCAGTAATTTGATGATGGGTATTTAATCAAATATTTGTACTTGAGAAAGTCTGTTGGCAAGGCTTAGCACAGAAATGTTGGAGTTTGGCACATCATATTGTCCAAATCACGATTGAAATTCACGACGGAGGTGTGAAGGTGCCATTAGTATGGGTTTTTTGGAGAAAGAAGCACATCATTGTTGTTTTTTTCAGGCTGTGGGTAATTGCTAAATAAGATTCTGTAATTTTGGCAACTGTGCTTATAAAATATCGATTCTAAATTCACAAAAAATATTTCAACGGTATCATATTAGCGGTTTTCCAAGAATTTGAAGCTAACTCTAAGAGTCCGTGATAAATGTTTGTGCTCACAGGTATTTTTGCCTCTTCCTGGTTCTTAGCCATGGAACATTCAGCAACCCTTGGCTTCTTTATGCAGGATTCAGCCAACATTTACTTGAGTAAGCTGATTCTTTGAATACTGTCATTATGCGAAAGGGACAAGGAAAAGTAGAACACGGTTTGGCACGTGGAGTTATCCAGTCAGCTGTTACCTTATGAAAACAAAATATCTTAATTTATTGATAGCAAACCGCCATTCAGCATTTAGATACTAGAGAAATCGCATGTAGGAAAGTTATCATGAAGATATGAGGAAGGCACCGGGAACTCTAATTCAAACGTTTATTCAGAAAGTAGCAGCTACGATCATTGTAAGAGCAATAATGAAGTTTTGCCTCTTGCACTACAACATCAGTTAAGTCTCCATGACCAACAACTCCTAATTTCTTGACCGAGCGATAAATGACACGCATGAATGCTGAAGAGTATTCCGGAACTCATCTTGTGTTCATTGTTTAGTCAAAAACCATGTGGATAAATTGTAGGTTTTATCTTTTCATTTTCGTACCATTGTTTTGCTTCACCGCCTATTTAATCCACACGAATTGCAAAAAATCCTGTCAGAAGTACGATGAACATGAATTTCAAGGCCATTTTAATGAGGTCGGTTTTGCATTATAAAGTAGATTCAAGCCAATTCTAGTTTTTGTGGATATATTTAATAGTTCCAGCGCAGTAGTACTACGGAGTACGAGGGACTCCGATCCAGAACTACTCAAACCCAATAGTAACCAGGCCTTGGCATGACCGAAACCAAATTTTATGCAGGATGCTTGATAATCCATATCAGAGATATAATAAAACAGGAGTAACAAAAGAACTCGGGTATCGTGGAAATCATTGCATCCCTCACGACTTATGAGGGAGGTAGGGTTCTATAGTTGCCACTGCTGCGCTTTGAGTTGGTCTGAAAACCCCAGTGTGATTCGTTCTAAGTCGTGCCTTCCGCGACAGGTTTGAAATTTCCGATAGACTCTGAAATGCTGGGATCAGTTGGCCAACATATCCTCTTTGGATGAAACTATTATTTATGACCACAAGCTGATTCCCGCAAGTGCTCATATTTTTGAGAACAAATCCACTTGATGCTCTGACGGCGTTCCCTCGATATTGCACGACTGTTTAATTCGGGCTATGCATAATTCACCTGAGACCACAGCTCTGGAACAGCTAAGCCGGACTACTCCCAAATGTGGAGCTCACAACAATGCGATGTTGCATTGGGTTGGTGTTCATACCACATTATGGCTCAGTGAAAATGATCGAACCGGCAGGCTTGATGACACTCTTAAGAATGCTGTCGAAGTTTTCCGTGGAGCCATTGAATGGAGGATGTCCAGGAGATGTTAAAATATGTTATCTTTTCGGTACCCAATTGGTCAAAACGTACGTCCTCCAAGATAGTTTGCCTAGATGTAGCGAGGGATGGGCGTGATCCAACCTTTAAGACAGTAATCCACCAAGGGTAACGGGAATTCCTCACTGTCTTTAAACGATTCCAGGTAAGCTTCGCTGTGCACCTTGTGTTTAGTTTCTTGCAAGCGATTTAGGTTAGGGTGAGGATGTTTCCGTGTGGCTTGTGGAATCAGTAAACAGGGGAAACCTGTGGTAACTACCTCTTTAAGAATAGCATGTCGAGGTAGTCATCATTGAACCATTGCAGCGGAGAGTCTCGCTAACAACTTGAGGCTTATAGACGAGTTTCTAGGGCTTGTTGTTAGTGACAATAGTGGTATGCGCGCTGAACAATTATTCATGGAGTCGCTTAAAAGCTCACTACACAGTCACTACTGCATGCATTTGAGCACAGTCACATTCAATTGAGCTAAGATGCTGAGAATTGCACAATCTTGCCTCAATACTACGTCAACGTCAATCAATCAAATTTGATGGTGTAACTTCGGAGAAGGTTGGTGTAAGGCAGCTTAAGGGCCAAGAAAATTCCGAAGAATTCTCAATGTTCGTTTATATATGCCAGACAATTTGAAGTTATTGTAAGCCTAAAATCGAGTGAAGGTTTTGCTAGCTCTGTAAAGTTGGGGATGAAATGTCTTTGGGATTCGAATTTAAGAGATCGCTAAAAATCGACGAGGCTCAGGCTTATAGCTATTTTCCTGGAAAAAATTAAAGGCACAGTAATTCCAAAGTATTAGGCGTTTACTTTCGTATGTTACATGAAATGTTATAACGGTGGAATTTTTCGGGTATTCCATGCAGCCTTTCATCGTACGGTTGTGTGTCTGGGTTGGAGATAACATCATCTTAGTAAGTAGCACCGCCCTCAAGGTGAGGTGTGAAATATATCAGACAGGATGTTCAGAACAAGAGGAAGGCAATTACAGTGAAAAATTCCTGGGCGGGTATTGATCGTAGCTAGATCTCTCGAAACGCAATCAAGCGGGGCCAATCTCAAGGAAGAAAGGCAAACCGTTAAATTGTACTAGCGATTTGTTAAGAGTGATGGGAAAATCACAGCAAAACCGAGGAAACTCACTGACTCGTCTGAGAAGAATCACAATTGACGCTGCCCATGCTGATGAGTGAATGGCAAAATGGGGTGGAATCATTATCATCAGTGATTGTGGAATCATACTCAGTGACCAAAGCTGACAGTTAATAATTTTGGGATGAGAGTAAGCTAGAGGTTGACAGGAGTCCAAAACTCCAACAAGTGTCCGATATGTACACCAATCTTAAGGCGTTGTGGAATATGAAAGGTGGTAGAGGATTCAATCCCACCTTTATAGTTGATAAGTGATAACTCACGTCGTTGGTTAGACAAGTCCGCATATTGCACCTGGTTAGACTAGCAGAATCAGCACCGAAAGTGCCAAAATTAAAATTCACTCAGAGTTCCTTCTTGACGGCCGTTTGGCAAGTAGGTCTGTGAGCGGCGGAAAGCGGACTACATGTGTCCTAAGTTGGCGTATAGCACTCAACAATTCAAAATGAGAATGAAAATGCTCCAAACTGTATGGCTTGCAGTTGTCATATCGTTTCGCAGCATTTGGATCCGCTGTCGGATTGTCACTAGACTTTGAATTGCGTTTGGCCACATGTGTGAACTCCGGCATCTGCCATCTAAACCTTTTTAAATTGCTTTTGCATAGTTTTACTGGTTTAACAGTCAAGTTCGGAAATTGTTCGCATAGCGTTCGGACTGATGAAGAATTGGCGTTAGAATTGACGAGAGCTTTCGTCGTCATTCGGGTAAATTTATTCTAGCTATTAGGCGGATAAGCACTCAAGTCCGCAAATGATTCCAGCAAGCTGCTTGAGTCCAAAATCGAAGAGCTAAGCTTCTAGTACCTTAAATCCTCTTTTATCATAAACATCTGGAATTTGGCTTATTTACTTGTCCTAAAGTTCACAGGCTGCAAATGCTTCAGTACACTTTCTTCAAGCTTTTGTGAGGAAGCAAAAATGGAGGATTTGGAAGTTATTTCTCTGGTGGCATATGAGCTTCTTAGTCACTGCAGAAACGTAGGCAGTCTGCTTCTCCGCCTTCCAGTCTTTGAGAATTCGTGCTAGTCTCTAATAGCTCCAGAGGAAGCATTGCTGTTCAGATCTTTCAGTTGAAAGAAATCCAGTCTGAAATTTTCAACTTTGTAACACCTGTTCCAATGGTTGTAGCGTCACGGCACTAAGGAGTGTGAGAAGCTCCAGCCGAGAACCAGTCAGACGGAGTCGTAAAAAGCATCTGCCTGACCTAATCTGAGGCAGAGTTGTAGGAAGCACTAAATATAGTCCATGGCAGTAACACCATAAAAGGGGAGCAATGGAAGAAGTCAGACGGCGTAGCACTCATTGCAATGCCACCGCTGTATACGTGATGAGTTTGGAGTAGGCAGCAATAATCTTAATGTTCTGGAAGGCTAAGTAAATACATTGTAGAATGTTGGTAACTCATAATCTTCTAATTCTATCATCGAAGTAAGCTGGATGTAGTGATGAGGTACAGAGTGATATCATCAAGAACACCGTGTTTACCCAGTAGTGCGCAATTTTAAAATTGATAGTGCAATGAGCGCACATTCAAGGATTTGGTGTTATTCTTCACGAACATCTCTTACTGCGTCAGTATGTCAAAAGGGATGGAACGGAGAGGCGAAATATATGTGTCATGATTGTTTCTTTTGCATTACTGTGGTTGATTGCATTTTGTTATATGCTTTCCTGATGTATCCAAAAGTCCTGAACATGAAATTAGGTAAAGGTAAGTCAAGAAAAGAGGAAAGTACGATTCTTTTCCATTGTTGCCTTTGATGCACCCAGATACAAAGAGTAATTTAGGTCAGATCTTATTGCAGAATTGCAAACAAATGCAACGATAATCTTTTAAAGAAAATTGTCAGGACCGTGTTGTGCTTAAGTGAAAGCATGTACTGAATTAATCATCTCAGACTGCGGGAAATATACTCCTTGTGATATGAAATCGTTATTCAAAGCGAGAAATTGCAATTATCTTTAACTTCAAGAACTTTATTCATTTGGAGCAATTAAATAAATAAACTTGTTACATTTCACCAACCCCTGAATTACTTATCTACCAGGAAATTTATTGCCTCGACCTCCACAATATTCGTAGAAGGACACCTGCATTATGGCGCGGGCATGGACCTTCAAATGAACTAAATGAGTAGAGTGATAAGTTCTACTGGTATGTTCTAGCTAGACTACGGCGGAGAACCATGCAACAACTGTCAACTAACAAACCTTGAATATATGCGCGAATTAATTTGAAGGTGAAGCATGCATTGTGCTTCCCTTAATAAAAATTAGCGACAAGCACCGTGTTGTGCTTTCAAATGATTGAATGGAGAAGTGTCGAATAGTGAATGAGCTACTCGTTTCACACAATCGTTTTCCTTTAACTTTACTTCGATACGTTGTGTACAAGTCTCTTCTCCTCTGCCGATAAAATAGACGCCGAATTTGAGGCAACAGCGTTGTTATTAACGACTGCTAAATAAGGAATTTCGAGCGTGTTATTGTGATTTCATATCCTAATTGAATTTCCGAAATCATTACATCCAATTCAATGCTACGATGCACCTAAGCTTTGCACCATAACTCCATATTAGTCCGCATTGAAAGAAGCCCGAAAGCTCAAGGCTGGATATGACATGGTCCAGATTTTTAAAAAAGTGCAGGACATAGTCTCCTTCCTCAATCGCTTCAAGTTGGCAGTGTACTGACTGGCTTTGCAAATGCAAGTTCCGACAACTGGGTCTTCGGTAACTCGATGTTGGACAGGTCTTTGCTGATTGTCAATGTAGCGATAATTGAAAGTTAAAATACCAAACTCATTCATCGTATCATAAGAGTACGTTAATGTTAAAGTTCGATCACGTTTACCTAGCCTAAACGCTGAATAGTGAGGAAATAGGACACTGAACAAGTTATAAGTAAGCAAAGGCGATTCCATCAGTAAAATATCCTTAGTGCAAATATGTTTCCCTTTCCACTGTAGGTTCCCCTGACTGAGTTTAAACGTGGCCCTCAGTGGGTAGTTCATCTCAGCCATTTATGGCCATTAGGCAAGGTGTGCCCATTATTGAATGTGAGAAGTGACAAAATCGTCATTCCACTTTGGATATTGCGTGAACACTGTTAATTCAATTATGCTTACATACAATTGAGGTTCAAACCGACCTAATTGAAACAGAAAACAAATTATTCCAAGCCCAAAAAGCATTCTGTCAAAAAAATTCCCAAAAGCGGCTACTGCTTCTTCTCATCCACGCGACAGCAAATGCCGTTACTTAGATTTTTTCGCACGCGCACGCACGCACCAAGTAGTCGAGGTCTGTCAGTATAAATCAGATGGGCGCTCTTCGTGAGAAGAAAATCGGGACAAGAGAGGAAGAAATGATATATGTATATCAAGCTTCCGTGTGTGTTAAGCTTACGAAGAACTACTAAACCTTTTCCAAATTCTTTACCGAGAACAAGGATGGTTCCTGATATGGGAGATGACTTCCATCAGTCCTCATTGCATTTCATTCGACCTTCTACATTTCCGATTACAACTGTACAATTTAGTATAAACTTTTCTGTGCCGAATTTTAGCTGTTTGCAAAGCTTTCACATCAGAATACGTGTGCTTAACATTACAAGTTTGACAATGGCAAAATGAAGATGGAGAAACTGTTTTGTTCTTAACAAAAATTTTTGTGAGTTAGAATGTGAGAAACGACCGAGAAACTAGTCACTATTCATGCTTCCAGTACAAACTGTAATGTCATATTTCCGAGAATTCTTTCAAACTAGTACCTCCAAAAAGGATGCGTAGACTGTTGGAGCAAGTAAATGGTAGTGATTTAAAAGTATTCAGTGTATTTCAGTGGGAGCAGCCAAAATTCTTTGTTGACTTCTTAAAACAAGTGCAATTGCAAAGACAATGTTGCCCCGATAATACAAGTCATAGCCCAGTGTTTACAATTGTGTACCAAATGAACAAAGGTCTAAAAAATGTATTTGCACTTATTTATAGCTTCGGTTAAAACATATTTTACAGTTCTCAAGAAACAGCAGGAAAAACTGTGGAAAACATCGCAGCGCAAACAATTTTTAGGAAAAATACTCACGCAGAATATTCCTTATTCTCTATTAGCCCCTATGTCTTTGTGTAGGAGCATCGTATTGTTTCCCTTGTCTTCCTCGATTACTAGTTTTTCGAGTATTCATAGTGAATCTAATAGTAAAACCCATTATTCGTGTTCTTTAATTGTTGCGAATTATTTGCACATGGCAAATGAAATCGTGAGTTTTATTGCAAAACAATAATTAGACGCTAAAAGAACCTCGCCTATTCGATGGTACTGCTTGCCGCCACTGCTATTTGTTTCACGAACATTTGGCGGCATGTCAATTCACTAAAAACATTTTAACCATTTAGCTCAGTGTCAATGCTACTTACTTGTTGAATGTCAAAGCCTATAATTTGCCCGTTGTAAACGTGAAAGAACACACGCTATTGAGAATATTGTTAATGAGGCAAAATCTGGAGCAAATCAACCTACTGTTAGACCTACTTCATGTTTAAATATGAGGTGGCGACAAAAGCTTTGGAGCTGCGTACAGAAGGCAATGTAGAATTCATTAGACTCACTATTCAATAAGCCTTGGTTCTTGATAATGAGAAACTGTGATATTGTTAATGAATTTGGTCACACTGCAATCGGTTGTCCAGGCTCCAAAAACGTGGTTTTAATTCTTACGCTGAAGAAGGACTTTTGATAGAGTGTTTTCATCAATACGGTGCTGATCTGGAGCATTTGTCTTGCTACACGATGGAAAAGTTATTGCCGGACATTAGGCAGGAAAGCATTTTGACTGCGCATAAATTTTCCGAACCGATTTATTTATTTCCCGAATGCCCTTTGATAAAGATTTAGTAGTGTCCACATAAATCAGGCCATCTGGAGTTGTCAGTTTGCGGAGGCTTGATATATCACGAACCTCTGTGTGCATATGGTAGAAAAATAGCGAGAGCTGCTTATTTCTCACGAAGTTGTGATTTATGTAGGCCGAGCCCTTTCTAGGTGAATATCTAAAGTGTGTTATGATTTTAGTTAGGATCATTATTTAACCCAATTAAATATTTTAGTCATCAAGACTAAGGTTATAATTTCTTTAATAGAAGCATGTAATACTTTAAGGGGTGTCTAAAAAGAGTCCTTACAAATGACGCAATTTGGCTAATCTCTGAGCTATCCAAAGAAGAATTGCTGACATTTTGAAGATAGCTAAATAAATACGGACTTAGTCCCCTATTTGATGGATAAGTTTAAAATTACTTTTTGGGACATTCACTTCCCACTAAAGTACATTATCTTGGGTATCATTTCAAACGCGGTCTGAAAATATTTCAAATCACGGTAAGAAGAACTAACGCACCACTTTTATAAAAGCTGTATCTTTCAAAATAGATCGTTTTACAGTCATATAATGACGAGAATACTGAACTTTAAAACTCCTAGTTTGGGAACGGTGTAGCTACTAAGCTGTTTCGAAATCCCGCAATGCATGACTATCACCAAGGGGTAACTTCTGGCCACACGGGTCACGGGCGACACCGGCCACTGGTCTCAGTAAGCCCACTATGCTCTCTTATTAGAAGGGACAACTGTCAACTTATTACTGCACAAAGATCTTTCCATTTGGCAGAAGGGGGTTGAAATGGTCTTGTACAGACGACTTTAATGACTTGATCTCAAGCTGCCTAAAACATTTCACGGTCAAACTCAACAGGTTTTTTCACTAATTTAGCTTGACTTTGTAAACACACAAGGTGTGTTAGCAAACCAATCAATTGTAAAACACAGGAAGGGTTGAGACCTTGCCCACGTACGATGAAACCTACACCGTCGGTGTTATCACAATGCTCCAGCGGTACTGCTGCCATTTGCAGATTTTTCATTAGAGACAAAACTATGCAATTCACCTCGGTAAAACATTTATTCATGAATTAAGCCTTAAATAAAGCTATAAAAAGTTCGAGGATAGAGCAAAGGTGCGGGATGATTGGGACGGCCTTTGAATGCGGCGCATGGGTGCAGATGAATGGCCGCCGATGGACGCCGCGCAAAATGCATTTTCATGTAGTATAGACTAAGGGGCGCTAGTGAAGGACGGGCATTGTGGGGATCTTGGGAAAGGTCAACAAATTAAAAGCATTGCATCACTGTCATGGGTACTTGTGAACTAGTATGTTTATACAGTTTAAGAGCACCCTGTATGCAAACGTGTGTATGTGTATGGCCTCGTGTCTATCGTTCAAACAGTTTCGTACAATGAATGAAATGACTCGCATCAGCACCAGAGTGAAGCAGCTTGGGAATCTAGGGGCAAACAGAGAGTACTTGTATTTAAAGTAGGTGTGTTTGCTTGTGTGTTTATATATACCCTGGACCGGCTCGCACCGTGTAAGAAGGCGAGAGAAGACGCTGTACGCGAAAGTCGCAAATCAAAGTGTGGCATGACTGGAGGAGTAACTGGAGGACAGACACTTCAGTGTCACAGCCACTTTCTGTGTTTCTCTCTGAACGGGCGCACAAGAAATAAAGATTATTTGTACAGAGAAAGAAGATTGCCGTGTAAAGAACCTGGTCTGGCCGTGCTTGGAAGTCGCTAAGCTTGAAAATCGCGGTACGCAGAAGGTATACACATCATCGCGCCGCTGGAGACCCCGTTACTCAGATGGCCCGTACTGTAGGGATCGTAGGCGCTGTGAGGGGGTGGTGGTGGTGCTTGCGACTGTGGCGGGGACTGGTGGTGATGGTGGTGTCCGTTGGACTTCAGGAGAGGATAGCCCGATCCATCTGGAGGCAGAACCTGGACCATAGTGTTAGCGAGTAGCATGGAACCTGGCGTGCCAGCAGAGATGCCGCTGAGCGAATGGGAGCCCGTCGACGAGGAGTAGGCAACGTGGTTGCTATTATTGGTGTTATTATTATTATTGACTGCTCCCGAGGCCGTGACCGCAGAAGAAGGGGGACCCTGCGGCGAGTGATGTCCCAAATGATGGTCAATAAGCCCTGTAGTATTGGTCTTACCGGAGAGACCGGCGCTATTCAGCCCATCGCGATAGATACTTACTGAGTTATTGCTGCTACCTATCTGCCTCATCACTGGTAATGTGGCTCGTATGTGACCACCCCCATTAATCTGTGAACAGCGACGGCTTTTGCGATTGATCAGACAGTAGCTAGTGATGAAAATGCACACAAAGAAAATGACCACTGGTGCAGTGATGTATAGTGCCAGACGGCGTGGATAACTGTTCTCCTCCAACGTCTCGGCCGACGGCTCATTTTGAGCATCTAAAGGGATAAAACAAATGTTTAACGATTCACTCATACCTTGCCTTTAATCATAGTTAATTTACACAACATTTGCCAACCGAAAGGGTGAATTATCGTTACTTTTAACTTCAAAACTGGTGTCGCGACTGCAACCATTTTAAACGCATTAGGTCGAGTAAGCACTTCTGACAAGTTTAGGGTGACGTTTTGTAAATATGTGTTATTCTCCTTACACTGACATTCAAATGTCTACTGCGGCCTGACCGCACGTAAGTACATGTGAGTAAATGTGGCTCAATGAATACTAGGACATTGTAGGGTGTTAGGAGTGCATGTGCATGACTTCGTACCGGAGACAACAACGCGTACGAGTTTTCGGTCATCCCATCCGGACTCAGTGATGACAGAGCAGATGTACGTGCCGGCATTACTACTGGTCACGCGCTGAATGACCAGCTGACTCTCGGGCGAGCCGGGATCGCTGACAGCGAAAGGAGTACTGACGGCAGGAGTGCTAGAGGTCAGTTTGTTGCTAGCCTCGCTCGTCGCCATCAAAGGAAATACGATGAAGGCGATATTGGAGAGGCGGATTACCTCCTTTCCATCTCCCTCGTAAGTGGGAACTGCTTTGCTCGGCTCGATTATCTTACCCCACTGTAGAATTGCATACAGAAGACAAATGTCACTTTCTACAGCAGAGACTGAGCTAGTCTAATGCAAGCAGCAAATGTTCAAAGTAAATGAAGGTTTCAACTTCACCACGTAAAATTGTGCGAATTTACTCAGTTTCAACTAAATATAGCGCACAAGTTAGGTCAGATAGCGCATGAGTCGATTACCTGTCGGGGAAGATACAACCGGTAGCTTATCAGAATTAACCACATCTAGACTAAAATACCTGCGTGTGGTCGGTTTTTGATACTTTGGAACCCAAAAAATGAAGCTGTAGAATCGCAGACCATGAAGATGCCAAATGTGAGGTTTATCGCAATAAAAGCGGCAAAAACTGTGCACTGTATTATCTTTGCCTGCATTTTATCATTTATCGAACTGAGGGATTTTAAAATGTGGCTCATGTACCAATTTTATAAGTAGTTCCTTTCCTTTTATGAGCTGCAGTTTACTCCACAAAGTCTAGTGTAAAACAATTAACTCATGCTGTTTAAGGCAATTTCAGCCGTACAAAATCGCTATCTACTTATTGTATTCGTCTCTTAGATGACCACTTGTTTTACTCACAGTTTGCAACACATTCTGGAGGATGCGTTAGAACCCACCTCTCATGTTAGACAAGATGGCTATAAACGGTAATGCCTGATTTCACCTGGTCTTTTGCTCCTCGGTTCATGCTCCAACTCTCTGTTTAGCTCATCCACGTTGTGCATCAGCAGAAAAGCAGTCTGCATGTCATGCGAATTGCAATCTGTGTAACCGCTAAGCCCTGCTGCCGAGGGTCAATTTCATTTCTAGCACAACTCACATTTTACCCAACTAGGTTCCCTCTTGCCCAGTCGTTCTCCTATGCAAAATATGCAGGTCTTTTAATAACCATTAAAATAAAAACACGGACCAATTTTAGGCACGGTAAATTCAAACTACTTCATTGACGAATTATAACCTCGTTTTCATGTCATAGTTACAAATACTCATACAGAAGTTTAAGCTCATGAGTCTAAATGGGATAATACTGCACGATATGAAGATAAGCAGGTGGGTGCGCTGGTAGTAGCGGCTGTGATTTAGGATGTGTAAAATGGGCCCCGGTGACGCAAAGGTGTTTGGTCAAGTTTAAATAATTCTTTAGGTGCTTTTTAAAAAACAAGCATTGTCCGCTAAAATGGCTCTTAGTTTCATTTCCTTTGTATGCATCTCAAAATAGGGCTTACCCTTATGGTAACGGATCGGTGTTGTTCGGCGTTTACTTTGCATGACTGAATGAGGTTCTCTCCAGATTTGACATGTACTGTTATGTCATGATCACCAATGATGATAGCACCTTCGGAACGTGCTAAACAAGAACGAAGTAGAAAAAAGGTAATGATCATTCAAAGTTCATATTTTCTTGATCTGTTCGCCAAAGTTAAGGCCTTGCATTACAAAAAATAAGCCCTACCAGTATTTCGTGTCAGTTAATCATGGCATCGGGGACCGTTTCTTTGCATTTAATTTGGCATATAACTACGCGTCACGCTTGAAAAAGCGCTTCACCCTTTTGCCTGCAAAATCAGACCAGAACCTAATTTTACTTTTTTGGTCAAGTAGTGTACATAATAACCGATAGGGCTTCGACTGTAGGTTAGAGAATTTCATCCCTTTGCACAAAAGCAGCACCCAGTTACCATGATTTTTGACAATCGAATGCATACCATGATATGGTACCTATGGGTTTTCACGAGAAGAGGAGGCACGCTTGAAGTAAGAAGGAAGAAGACAGACTACGGATTGGAATGTGTATTTTTATTTTCTCTCCCATCTCCGTTCTAATTCTCGCTCTACCTCTCGTTTGTGCATTTAAGGTTGTGTCTGAACCAAATAGACGCAAAGTTTCGGGGGGGGGGGGGGTTGACGAACCCAAGCCCAACTCGTAGTTGGCGAAATGTCAATGAGAGGAAAAACTGTTTGGCAATTAAGCGAAACGAGCGCGCCACTTGGAGGCGGGGATGCCCCACACCACGGCCCGACGACTGGAATTTAGGTTACCGCGCCTCTCTGACAGCTCATGTTTGCAAACACCAGTAACTGCTTTAGCTATGCGACTTTACACGCACACCATCCCTTCGCCAGATCTGGGCCGCAGATGAAGCCCGCGCGCCTGATTGCTTTTAACATTTGTGGCCATTCCCCTCTTCAGACGCTCGCGTTGGGGGAGGAATGGAGGGGGAGGCAGAAAGATCGGTTTGGAGATGAACAAGACACCCATATACGCACACACTTCCCTTTATGACTGCTTTTTTTCAAACGATGGCATTTAAATATACACAGATGCACACATACAAACGAACAATCTTATCTGCTGCACACACACACAGGCACAAGCATGCTCTCACAGATGCTTGCAGGACCAAGGCAGAATTTTTTGTCCTGTAAACAAACTGTTGCAACTAGGGCAGCTTTTTCGCTCTGCCCCACAATCCTCGTCTTACGCTTCCCCTGCCTCCTCTCCTTACCTCGCCACCTAAGTTTACGCACTCAGTCTCCTTTTTTCTGTTCTTGTATTCAAAGTTGCTAATCCCTGTGCGGAAAGTATTGTCCTTCAGAAATATCCTCGATCGTTACTTGAAGTATTAAACTAAATAAATGAAACATTTTTACTTTACGTGCAAACATTGGGATTGTACAAAGCTACATTTGTCCCAACGATTGTTAGATTCAAGTGCCCCAAAGTAGAATAATTTGCAGTGAAATTGAAACTGGACCACAGGAAGTAGTCTTCGCAGGATTCATTTACGACTGAAGTATGCAATCCCCGTGGCAACGACCACGCGTTGCTATTTGTACTGGTTTCGAATGGGTCAAACGATCCATTTAGCCGCATCTTAGACGAATATTCTCCCAAATCTTAAGCAGACTTTAATAATTACACACCATTACTAGTTCGTGAATTCAAGGGAAAATGTCTTTAAAGCTTTAATAAACAGTTTGCACGGAGGTTCTAACAACAAATTTCCCTTCCCATTTCTAAACCATGCACAGCAGCCATCCGCAGCGAAAGGAAATGCATCATTACCGCGCATATTCGATCAAATTCGAATCAGAACCACCATTCCATTGAAACTGTGGAGATTACTAACTGACAATTTGCGATGTCTTAACGCCGGAAGTGTAACGTGCTTCTAGTGCATCAAAAGGCCTTCTTGGATTTTGGATGTCAAGTTGACTTGGTGGTTTTCTCACATTGTTCAGCAGAAGAAGTTGAATTGAGCGGCATTTCGGGGAGTTGCTGAAGATCTGTGCTGCTTGAAATCAGATCATTTTGATAAACTGTGGCCAGCTACCAGTTAATGATACGTTTTAGAAGGAACAAAACTGCGAAGCAATAAGGTAAGGAGGTGTGTTCTTTCCTCCTATACTCGCTCTTCGCCTGTGAATAGAATCCCTCTAAATTTGGTTCATTTCCTACCACCAGTTTCCTGCACAACCACAACTTTTCAACAACAATGGTGCGAAAACGCTTAACTATTGTGCAAACATGTAATATTCCACTAACAAGCAATATGAGGTTCTTCTGGAGATATTTAAATAATTTAGTGAGCAAACCGGCACTTACTTTTTTGCGTTTATGTATATTAAAGTCTGTTTTACAACTCAAATAATGACGCAAAGTCACCTGCATTTCGGTTCAATGGTATTGTCATGGCTGTTCACTTTTAGCCCATTAACACGTCAGGATAAGATTCATTATCTGTCAGCTGGTTAAAGAGCTTTAAATGGTCGAAAATTTTCCCTTGTCCACACAAAATCTACTCCTACCCTCTCCCCTCCTCATAAGGATTTAAGTCTCCTAGTCGTCGCCACTACGCTTAGCTACGAAGGAACTGGGAGTGCGCACAAAGTGGCCTTTGCTCAAATGCATTGAGTAGGTAACCTATTTTAGTCAAAGCACAGTGAGGTCCGACGAAACTAATTCATGTACAGAACATCAACAGCGGAGCAGACGACGGCAAGAAGAAACTAGCATTGAGAACGATTGCACTTGCCTGAGCGTTTTCAAGATATCAGCAGTACCTCAAGTCCTAAAACGTTGACATTTAACTTCATTTTATGAGCTTTTGAACAGTGAAATTAATTACACTTTGATTCGGCCAAACACGGATGGGTATGATGCCAGCCATTTCGCCTTTCACTAGCATTCCATATTCTTTATAAACAATAATTTAGTGTTACTTTAGTAACTGCTCAATGTTAAATTACTCATTTTAATCTGTTGTTAAATGTGTAATATTGGTGATTAAAAGTGAACAGGAAAATACGTCATTTAATAAGGCAAAAATATTTGGCACTTTACGTGATATTAATGCCACAGTGGGTTATAAACCGCAAAAAAGTGGTTAGGCGGCCCCTTCGTTGAGGCCGTTGAGGGAGTAAATCAAGTCCATTCGTATTATTTACGGCCTCCCAACTCGCCATACCGCCTAAAGTTAAGTTCACGTATTGCCACGGTCGCCTCAACCACCACCAGCACTCCACTTTCCATTGAGAAGGGGTCAGTAAATAGGAGGCAGTGCTAGGGTGGAAGTAAAATCAGGGCACCTAGCTGGTGGGAGAACTGTCCGGTGGATTTACACGTGAAATGCAGTATAGGAAAGAGGAGTAGCAAGGAAGTTGGACTAGCATAATCACCCTTCACAGAGCCGAGATGCAATGAGTGTGTGGGTAGAGTGGCAGTGGCGGCATCGACAGCGGCATCGGCGGCGGCGGCGGCGGTGAGAGGTGTATGCAAGAATAGTGAATTGCTGATAACAAATTGGTATGGCTTCCCTCATTCTTTACGCCTCATTCTCCGGTTACCCTGCTTTCTGCTCAAGTGCATGCGACCGCATTACGTGCAAACCCTTGAGCGGCTGACCAACATTCCCTTTCCCCTCTTCTTTCCGCTCTCCCTCTGAATGCTATAAAAAATAACCCCTACCAAGTCTAAATCATTCGATATTCTACTCATTATTTAACAGTCTACTTATTCGGATCTTAGATTCTATTATGCGTGACAAAATCGTTTCCACATCACAAGGGATATGTTGCTGGCAGCTTCGGAGGTTATTGTAGCTACATCGCCGTGCACTTTGATTTGTATTATACAACATCTTCCTTTAGTACCAACTTATGCACCAGCTGATGCTAAACTTGTGTAATTGGTAAATTGGCTGCAAATTGCGCCATAAATGAGCCTTGTATACCAAGTGATAAAATGTGTTCTTTTTTGGTAAATTAATGCACCGTTTAAAGTAACTAGCATAATTATATGCAGAAAAACTTACTAACAGCAGTTTCCATTATTGACATAAAGTGGTTAAAGCTTCAAAATTACTAAAGAACCACAATAGATTATTAACCTTTGCAGCGTTGATTTTCAGTTGCGTAGGGATTATAGATTTTGAAAAACCTAATATTATTGAATTTGGCAAAACGTGAACCATTGTGTAAAACTGCAGTGATTTGATGATTCCAACAGTGTGCTAAACTACGTGGCCAATTCAGTCCCTACAGGTTGTACTCTCACTACGACATGGCCCCCAGGCCATGCCAGTAGCCTCCAAGCCCTTCTCTTGCATTGGTATATGTTCCTGCATACCACTTTGGCTTGAAGACTTGAAACGCGGCAAAGTAACTTTGTAACATGACGCTCGAACCAACGAGCACTGACATTACAAAAGTAAACGCAATTTGATGTCATTCCAAACGCTCCTATTGAATCTAGCGTCCTTTGATTCGGCCTTTTAAATTACAAATCGGAGAGATAATGGGACTTTTCATGTGTTGCAAATTCGCACTTTGATAGATGATGCATGAGCGATCATATGACCGAATCGAAAATCCGGATAAGCCGCAGAAAATAGGATTGGTGCACAAAAACCAGTCTCTATTTCCTTCACACCTAACCAAAACCTAATTCAACAGTGGGTACTCTCTTGTGAAGAAAGAGTGCGATGCCCAGAGAGCCCTTGAGTTACATCGATTCTTCTGAAACTCCTTTGCTTTGGCACCCAGACAGGTAGTGCAATATTTCCCTTAATGTGGAGAAGGGACACGCCCCCCCCCCCCTCGTGTGTACTTGCTGAAGAACAATTGGGTGGCGGAATGAAACCGACCCAGAGTATAGGAAAAAAAAATCACCAAAGGCGCAGTGGTGGCGAACGTCGCCAATCATGCCCATGGGGAAAAGAAGCTGAACCCCCGGTCATATAGGCGCAGGCGCTGGCGCACTATAATTGCGCGTCTTGATTCGCCTTCGTCCACGATGTGTGCATGCAACGGATTTTGTCTGGGCATGATTCAGAATTGAGAGAAGTTTTTGTACAATGGTCTTCGTCGTACACATGGACACAGTCACAATCGTCGGTGCTGCATGTATATAAAAACTACAACAGAATATTAGTACTGACACACCTGGTGGCTATTTTACCGTGTCTTTTGCAATTAAATTTAAGTATTTATTAGCTTCAGAAGAGTTGCGTTATCGGGGCATTCAAAAACAACGGACTAGTGAATCAAATTCGGGCGTTTGTCGCTGGACCTGGCCTTTATTTAAACTTGCTTAGAAAGTGCTCTAAATTTGATGTCTGATGTGTAATAGTATATTTTAAAAATGTTCCTTCACTATATCAAGCATACTTTTTTGGATACTAATAATAAAAAGAACTACTCGGGGATTCGCTTCAAGTTCGGCGTTTCCAAATACTTTGCATAGACTCTCTTAATGCTTCACACGAACAGCTTTTCACGCAAGAAAGAAGTGGTACTAAACACACGAAATTCAGCGTTTAGTTCAGTGCGTTCAATAAGAAATCGAAATTTTCCTAAACTAAATTCTCCTTCTTGAATTATTTGGTAGTGGATGTAAATTATACAGATACATGAATTTCAAATATCCAATAAGGCATCCAAGCTAAATTAACTTAACACAAGGTACATTTAAGTAGTATTTTAACGGAAATCCTGTTCCACACACAGACATGGAATCGAGCATCGAAAAGTGGATATAATGATAAATTAACAGACCTTAACGGCTGTCTCAGCATAGAGAAACTTAATATCACATTGTGGTGCATAGCAGTTCTGATACTTGGAATTAACACGACAAGAACTCACGAATCACATGCAATTGAAAAGTCCTCTCGATTTTCGGTATGACGGCAGAGCTGGAATCGGGGGCGGGATTGGTAACTGTACATCTGTACTCGCCCATATTACTGAGAGTAACCTTGCGGATCGTGAGCTGTGATTCCGAGAAGCGAGCCACATCAGCTCTGCCTCCTCCGCCGCCCACACCTCCGTTACTACCCGCCCCCCCACCAGCGCCGCCACCAAGACTGGCAGCAGTTCCACCCAGTCCCGAAGAGCTGCCACTGGATGGTGTGGCTCGAGTGTTGCTGCGGCGTGTCAGTCGATTGCCTATTGGGGAAGACGAGAGACCCTTTCCAAGGCCATGCTTGTAGAACTCCCAGGCGTAATCTAGCTGGTAAGTCCGACCATCCGCTGTCACGCTGTTGCAGTCGAAGGTAACGTCCTCCCCCCAGTAGCGCGTTACAACTAGCTCAGCATCAGTGTAACTTCTCAGAAAACAAGGCCCTACACACAGAGTATAATATCATTAGCAAGGTCATTCATCTGTATTTGTTACTGCATCAGAATAAGATGAAACCTGATTTGGATGCAAAGCTACCTGTTTTTGCCACCGATAAAAAATCACCTAAAGTAGTTACTAAACTAGTAAGAAACATGACAGGCTGATAACTAGTGCTGAATTACCCAATCTGCTTATCAGGTCTGTTTTTATTTGGTTTTATCCGCTGGTAAGTTAACGTAGTTACGGTGTCGATAAATGATTTTGCTTAGGTTTGTGTAGAGAAAGAAGGATGACTCTCACTGAATGCGATGAGTTATTTGTAAGGGGGTTGATGTGATTTACCTGGCGTGAGTCAACAGGGCGAGAAAAGGACATCAAGGCAAGAGTAAGCCAGACAGAAGAAGCATATACTGTGGTCAGTGACTCAACTTCAGACACGATTGACAGCTTCCATGACTTAGTCATTTTGTCCTAGCAGAGGGGGCAACGCGCTCGAGCTGGATAGGATGGAGGAGGGGAGGAGTGTCCATCGTGAGTGACAAATTGCATGCGCGCGGGTTTTCACGGCTACTTCCTCCTGTCTTGCATTCCAAACCCGAGAACTATTCTATTGTGTTCTCAGACGAGGAACTCACTCTAGCCCGGTAACAGTAGCTCTGACAAATTAATTTGAAGTCCTAATCAAATGGCACATTAAGTTACGTAATTTAAAGGTAAGTTATACGGTTCTGTACTAGATGACTTCTCCTCATAGAATCTAACTTTGAATGCACTTTAGTGCAAGGAGAAAAGTGTAAAACAGAAGTGCCAGGAATCAAAATCGGTGAACGTCCACGTCATATTAACATATGCTTACGTGATGTTTGTTTTATTCAATTAGGTGTAAAGTCAATGCGAGGCTTTTGCTTTTCTGAAAAGGGACGCGGTTTTATTTCTCGCCCTATAGGCCTTTGGGAAATCTCGAGAGTAGGTAGAAGGTAAGTCACCACAGGACTAATCGAGTTAACGCGTCTGGGTCTCGGCCTTCTTTAACGCGCGAGCGAACCGTTAACTAGCTTTTACCATCCTCAGGCAAGCCCACAACGAAATGAGTGAGTCACGTTCTTAAATAGACAAAACACAGTCATGGAACCACGTCCAAAAAGTGGTTAGAATGCTATTCAGGCGAGAGGTCAGCCAAGACTCGCCTGCAGTCCCATCAGAACAGAGTGAAATGACTCATGCAAGCGTGTTTACCAGAGATGGGTTTTCTAAAAATTGGTCTGTCCTGTGTGTGTATGCCACGCGCACGCCTACGTATCCCTCCACCGCCGCCTGCTCCTCCTCCTTTATACCCACCTCCCTAGGCTTGTATAAAATTTAGCCCAACGGACAGCGTGCGATGTGCGTGCATAACGTGAAGCGGAGAGTGGAGAAAAAACTTTTGACGGCACCTAAATGCGTGGCGCTCCCAATTTTCGGAGCCCAAAACAGCCTTCTAATTGGGTGAACATGTTATATGTGGAGGAACTGGGAGGAAGTTCCAAGTTATTCTAATCAGGACTCTCGTATTCCTCGCTGACCAAGCTTTGAAGTCTAATACACAATTTATAAATATTTAATAACCAACTTACTTAAATACAATAACCGATCACAACGATCCGTGTAAAAGTATGAACATGCGTCGTTTCGTGTTTTAATAAGTTCCATTTTTTTGATTTGCTGATTTTGGTTGGCATTATTCGCACCATCAATGACCTTTGGGGGTGTCGACAACTTCTCCTCTAGACCCAGTCAAGCTGCGACGACTGCTTACAGCAACAAAATAATCTCACTAACCTTCAAATATGCTTACGTGAAAGTTAATGGGCTTGAAAAAGATGCAACATAGGTTACATAGTCCTGTCAAAAAAGCGGATGTTTCACACCTTCAAGTAAAATGCTGGTAAATAAACAAACCCAGGAAAAAATTCAACAAAATACTACTAGAAAATCGAGCAATATGTGATATCGTTGGAAAAGTGGAAGTTAGATTAAGCACATTTCAGTAGCCATGCATACAAGTGGAGGTATGAAGGGTGAAATTTACTAAATATGTCCCCAACTTCGTATATTACCAATATCATTGACTTCCAGACATGAATGCACAGACCGCTCACACAATAATCGTGTTCATTAACTTTAAGTAGATCTTTGAACGAACAGGATAAATGAGGGTTTTCAGTGTATCAAGTATGGCCGTGGTACAGCTCGACACACACATTTTAGCCTCAGATTTTCATCCGAATTAGTCCTCCATCTTCTTTGGTGCCCAAAAAGTATTGAGTGAATGTATGCTATTCTCAGTAAAGTGAAGTGATGCAAAGCTTGCATCATGATAATTGTTGGACCTGATGACTAAAATGGAATACAGAATAATGAATGACAGGTGGCGAAACTTTGGATTATTCCTGTGCACCATTTGAAAATACCCATTTGTAAATGGCAAAATCTTACACATCCTTGACATGAGTAAGGTAGGTGTTGAGAATAGAACTTTCCAAATTGTGTAAGTAAAGTAAGTGTTATTTTCCACTTTCTCTTCTACTCTTCCTTCCACATACAGAGGAGAGGGCAAATTGCCAATGGACGGAGCATGAGTTGAGGGGAAGAGAACGGTAGAGGAGAGATGTTTAACGGCGCAATTAGTTGACTGTTGGACTAGGGAGGAAGGATGAGATGAGTCTTTTTTTATGGGCAAGCCGTCTTCCACGCATTCACCACTTTTTCATTATGCCTATATAGAAGTGTGCTGCTTTCACTGCAATTGCTATTACAGCCTTGACTAGCCTACTTCTTAACCAGTTAACCACACATACACAAGTAATGCTTGTCTCGCACGTAAGCTATGTACAGTCGCATGAATAGATGACCATCCCAGTGATTTTTACCCTATGCTCAGCTGAGAGCGACAGCGTTGGTACACGCAGATATATGCATATGGATAAATGTGTACATATGTATGTATATGTATGCATGTGTGCGTTTACATATATACATATCTGTGGTCGCTTATGGCAGGCAATGACTCAAGCAAATAAGCAAAAGCAGAAAAACACGAGGTAGAGAGGAAGGCAGATCACCACTGCTATCGCGGCTACATCTGCAGAAAACCGTTAATAAATAATGCAAGGGCCCGTGGAGTGAAGACGGGAGAGGCTATAACAATGCCTTTTTGGGAGAAAGTACGATGAATAGGTGGTACTGCCTACTTGAGTGGCTGTGAGCATCAGTGTGTGACAGCATTCTTCTACAAAATGTTACTTATTCACGTTGCTTGTGAAAGAAGTAACAGACACACCACTCACCTGCTGTGTTGATTTTCCCATCACGTGAAAGAGCACATTCCTCTTTGATGGCTGGTGAATTATAATCTAAGTTGAAAAAAAAAACAAAAAGCCCTCCACAGAAACTGCATCAGGCAAGACCTCGGAAGCCCTAATTAAATGACTCATACTTTTGCTGAGACCTTTACTTACAAAACGGTAAGAATAGCTGCGCAGATGGGGAACAGAGGAAAAGCCATGGTGTCATGCTAGAGTGGGTGATAACTAAGTCGTAAACACTGCATTTGCTCTAGTGATTTGATGACCCACCCAGAGGGTGAAACCAATTTAAAGACAATTTACGATTAAGACTGAATCGCGTGAAAAGTGTTAGAGAACTCGAAGAGAGAAAATGGGTTATATAATTGGAATGATTTGTCTTGAAATTCAAATAGTTTAACCATTTTTATTTTAGATACGACCAATTCTGGCAACATCTCTTCGCTATTTTAGTAAAAAAATGATAAACTCAAGGAATTTATAATTCATCTAAAACTAAGGGATGGCCTTTTTAAATAAAAGCTTCTGTTTGGTCTGTAAAAATTTACTTTTCAAGTCCAAAGGTGGAAAACGGAGTTAAATAAGTAATCATGACAATAGTCAAAAAAATACCATAAATAAACCTGACTTATTTATAAGTTCAGCAATTATTCAAATGTTCGGATAAGTATCATGTATCAGACATTCTAAGCCGTTTATTTTGCTAAATTTAAATGACTAAAATGGGTGAATCAATTATGCAATGGCCGCAAATAACTGTCACCATGTTCTGACTAAAAAGGTAATAACATCACTGGATAAAATGGCTTAACACCTGAAGAGCTAATCCAAAGTCTACTTACCGACAACACGAATGGCCATTTCAGCCAAAGAGTTGCCGAAGCCATTGACAGCACTGCATTGATAACGGCCACTCACTTCGAAGGAGTCTGCCTTGATGGTGAGATTTTTGGTCTCATCAAGGAAGTGGGAGGGGTAGTCCGGTCGAGTCCACTTGTAGAAAGGCGTTTCGAAAGGACAAGAGAGAGTAATTTGGGTATTCAGTGGCACCAGATATCCACGTCGATGTGTGATCCGCTGTTGTAGTGTTCCTGCCATGGCCGAATCTACCGGAATAAATACAGTTGATTGAAAGCGAACTCACAGTGGGAAATTGGTAAAAAAAACCACAAATTCTATATGCAATACTAAGAATGCATATTGTTCATTAGTAATAGATCCTCATTTTGTTGCAACAGGTACTTAGTTTCCTCACGTCCGTGATCATGCGAGTTTTTTAAACTACCGATATTCGACCTTCCTGATGGTCGTACAGGTTGAAAGTTATGCTATCAATCTTCTAGCCCCTCTGTATGGTCACATGGATGGTTCTGGATTTTTGCTTGCAGTAATGGCACGATTTGACACAATTACTGTAATCGTCTTTGACCATCACGTTATTTTAAATAAATAAGCCCAGGAAATCAAGTTTCTATATCACAAATGACACTAATTAATGCAGTACTGCTTTGGTTACCACAAAATGTTAAGTAATTCGAAAAATGCACTGTCCGCACCGAATATTTATACCACTCCTCCTCCCTATCTGGATCTCACGGGGATTGGGTAAGCCGCGTGCGCAAATGAGAGAGTAGGCTTTTGAAATGACGGTAGCTGAAGGGAAGCCGGCACATTTGGGGGAATAATACTTCATTCTACCGTCACCTTATTCAAATAAATCCTTTACGTGGGAGTTCTTTCAGCTTGATCTAATCAGCTCTAAGAGCTCCTTGTATTTGCTACTTTGAAAAGTACTGTTAACAGTCTCACCGACAACTAGCTTCAGGTGAGCTAAGAGTATCAAAGCTTGCAGTCTCGTACACAGATAATTTGAGGTTTCTTAAGTAGCAACGCTATTTCCGTTGGACAGTCGTTTGTGAATTGGAACGAATAAAATTGCACTTGCTGCATAATAGCACTATTGTTGGAATAATTAAGTACATTAGGGGCAATTTCTTAATCTTCGGCCTTTCTTTTGACCCTCGCCTAAGATGCCACTAGTTATGGTTAATTATACTAATTCATTGGCCAATGCTGGACTGCCAAATTCACGTTCGAGCGCAAACATCCCAACGACACTCTCTAAATGCAATGGACTTAGAAAACCATAGCTTCCTCATAAACTGTCACTGAAGCGTAAAAAACCACTAATAATGTTCTAACTACTTCCATATTCCATTGTATACCTGTGCTGGCGTTTATCACGAGGGCTAATCACTTCATCGTGAAATTATCAATGCAAAAAATGCCTTACTTCACTGTATTTTTTTAATAATTAATCCCAGCGTCAAACTTAGCGTTCAACTTCAGTTGCCCGGGCTTGTAATGTACAGTAATTTTGCTTGCAAAAAGAAGGAAGGAGTAAGAAATAAGGATAGGCAGCAGGACCTCAAGGTAAGACTGAATGCCATTTAAGAACGCAAGCGAACAAATACGTACACAAAAACCAACAAACACTACCTTCGCCGTAGTGAGCATTTTTTACGTATCTTAGTGGGTACAGACCGAGGTTGTAAGGAGCGTATTACGTGAAGAAAAGCTGTTCTTACAAATGCGGGAAGGCAATGCTTTTCTCCATGTGATGCCTCTCAATATGGACTCACTCAAGGCCATATTTCATGAAGACAATAACGGGAATGCGTAGGCGAGTGATTTCTTTCTCGGATACAACCGAGGATAGGACTGCCCAGAATATCAAGTGAATTAGTTTGGTTGCAAAATACTCAAGTACATGGTTGGAATAGTAAATAAGCACAAAGTGCTGGCTCGTTTATGATGATCCAAGTGATGATGACCAATGTAGACGTCGGTCCCGAAGTTCATGTCTTAGACACTTCAACTTTCACTGTTAGAGCACATGCTGTTGTAATGGCACGCAAACGATTAATTTAATGTCTTTTTACTTCACACTTTTTTACAGGCTTCGCTTGCAGTAGACCATAACCCATACGAGTATGAAAACAGGTGCAAGCAAGATTTGACAGCCTTTTCATCAGTACGATAAAGGATGAATAGGTTCGATTAACCCAGTTACTATAAGAGATGACGATACCTTAAATGTTCACACCCTCATACGTCCAGGGATTAAATGGTTTCCCACTTTTGCTTCAAGTGACACTTAGAGAAATTCATGTTTTCCATGGTAGATTCCAATGAAACAATATTTTGTGGCCCAAAAGTTTATTAGCTATTGAAACATGTATGTAGAACTCGCCTTTCCTTATGTGCATTTTATGTAACCTTCCTATAGGTCCATTAATGGTACTTTTAGGCTTGAAGATAAATAAACATTCTCTTAGCTACTATTACTGGTTCGGGATGCCATGTGGACCTACAAGGAACCATGGATGGAGAGCTGAAAAGAAGGGTGAGAGATGAAGAGGTCTTGACAAAGAACGAAACGAGGCTACCGTTGCTATTCTACAGCGAAAAATTGAGTTTTGAGAGCGTATGTGTACTCCCTCCGTGCCTGCGCCCTTTTTCGCTTGTGCACACACGCACATGCATAAACACGGATTCGCGCGGCCGCGTTCGGTCGAGGCTTGGCAGCATCAGGGCGCTTGCTATTCAATGAACCCCTATTAAAACAATTGGAATTGCCCATAATTGTTCTGAAAGGCCGTATAATGTAGACCCATGCATTCATTCCTACAAAACCCGATTAAATGAAACAAAATCCGAATTGCTATGTATAGAAATTGCTAAAATGCTTTCAAATAATTCCGATAAAAGCATGTAACTTATCTAGGGCTGTGTAAACAATATTTCTGCCACTTTCTTCAAAAAAAATTACAATCCCCCTATTATTATTGCATTGGCTGCGACCCACGGCAGGTTGCTTATATTTAAACGAGAGTCTTTGAAATTCGGTGTATAACCAATTAACCGAAATGCACGAATCACTTGGGGAAAGTCTCTGAGTTACAAAGGGTTTAATAAAATGACTTTTGTTACACCTCGGAGAAGTGTAAATAATCCAGTGTATGTGAAAGGATGATGAACGGGCTAGTGACAAATCAGTTGTCTTAGGCGAAAGACAACGATGCTAGCGGTTCTCGCAATCTCAATAGCAGTATTCAATGAGCACAGCAAACTGAATTCGACGGCAAAAATTGATCATTTAATGCTTCAGAATGCCAAATAAAACGCGTGGGCGTCCTCATAAGCTAGTGATGACAGGATCCTTTCACGGAGTTTTAGTGAAGAAGTTTGGTAGAAGTTGTTTTTAGGGAATCATTTTGATCTGCACGATTTGTATGGGATGGAAGTGGGATAGATAAAAGAAGGAGCACAAGATAGCCGATTTTAACGTGAAATACGAAACCATTAATGCACTTATGAATGCATTTAAGGAAATTCTGTAATGACTTAATCAGTCTGGCATAAGAAAGGGTGAATACCTTGCCAGATCAGCACCCTATGGCATGGAAAATAGTTGAGTGGGTGCGAAAGTTATGTTTGTTTGATGGTAGGAAAAATGCCTTTTCAATTTTACACTTGGACTGGTAAATTAATTTGCTATTGTTTTTTGGTTGCGAAAACTATCTACTGACTATCATGCTAATTTTCGCCATCGTCATGTAGATCCTTAACAGAGCTCCCCATTGCTTATCGTTTTGAAGATTTTGACACCGTTGGAGGCTGAAAATTAGGAACTCACGGTCCATAACTATCTTTACTTTGCTATTGAATAACCAAAAATAAATTAAGTAGATTTTTGCGAATACCCATTAAAGGCCATAAAAAAATAAGCCAATAGTCGGAACTCCTGTCTAGTAGCTCATTTGCAAGACGTTCCTCGCAAACGTACAACTGGCATGGAGTTCGGATACCAACACTATGCGTTCAACGGCCGAGATTAAGGGTGCGATAAAATTAATTCATATTTTCTGCAATTCGGCGGATTGTTCATGGAGTGAATTATTTTAATTAAACACCTTGCACAAAATCTCGTTGTGCGTTTCCTTTTCACTCAGTTGGCAGCAGAACAGAACACCACTGAGGGTGGCAGATTTTCAAAAGTGACAATTTCTCATTGAGACGCAGAAACATTCGTAATTAACTTTGACGCCGCCCTTCCTCATGATCACAAAAATTCAAATGACAAATCACATTTATTCTTAGTCCTATGAGGTGTCCATCTAATACACATATTAAGGAATGAAATGCTTTAAAATTATTCCTAGGAGATATGTTGGAAAATGTCTTCTTAACTCCCAACGGCAACCGTTTTTTTAATCAAATAATGTTATGTACAATCAGCACGCAATAGTTGTAGCAATTATTTGGGAAGTTGGTGTTGGGGCTTTTTTTAAACCGAACTGGTGTAGACTCGAGGTGCTGTTCCATCCCAGGGGAAATTATCCTATAGGCACGCTTAAACTCACTTGAAAGAGCTTTCGCACACAATGTATCATTACTAGTATTTGAAGGATATTTTTTGCCAGTGTAGCTTCCAAAGACAAATGCAGTCATTTCATTCATCTAATGTGGCACATGTTGAGTCTTAATTCTATCGAAACCGGAATTTCCTGGCCACAATTTATTATTTCTTTGTCAGCGCGTGGAGAGTTCTGGTACTTTATTTTCATCATTAATGATAAATAGTTTGTTAAGTGATGAGGATATACGACCACTATGATTTTTTAAAAGCACTTAAAATGGTCCTAATCAAATCACTTACTCTAGCAAAACTTTTTCTTAGAGTAAAACTGATAATTTGGAATTGGTAGAAAACCCACCATTGGCAGAAACCGCGCCGATCAAGAAGACTAGAATGCGGAGAAAAAGTCTTGAGGACACAACGCACTTTGCGGATGTCCGTTGTTTAGACAGCGGTGAGTGGTTCAGCATTAGAAGGGCGCTGAAGTTGGTTGCTTGATGTTTCTGCAATTAAGACAGATGACTGATCGAGATATCGTCGATGGTATTGCGCATTTGCAACTACGATATCCCTAAATATGCTCACCAAAACCGCGTATTGGTTTGTGAGAGTGCTAGAGCCCTTGCGTACGCCCTTAACTGGTTTGACGGCCAGTCGTATGCACGAACAGGCACACTAACACTGTCAAACATACACATACACAATGAGATTGACAGCCCCCATGTCCTGTGTTCGCACTTGTCTACGCGTGTTTATGCGTCATGAGTGACGGAGTGACGACAAGCCTACGATTTTCTAAAAAAGTGGATAGGGCCACTCACACAAATATGCAAACGCACACGCTCTCGAGGTAGAAACACTTTTCACCCACACGTGTCTCGACACGTTCGTTCGTCTGCGACGGGCCATCGCCGTCAGGTTCTCGGAACCGCTTGCTGGAGTTCATGTAAGTTATGTACCTTGGTGGATTCCCTACCGCTTAGATGAGCGAGCACGCACAACAAGCTTTATGTCGATCTCGGATGGAATTCGAATGCTTCCTAGCTTCCTTCAACTTACCCGAGCAATATTGGACGAAAGCTGTGAGCTACAAGTTAAACTCACTCAATAGTAATGTTTGTGGTGAATGTGGGTGTTAATTTGTAGAAGTATTCACACCCTGCAAAGAATACCAATTACAACGTTAACGGTCCAAAATTACTTAAGAGTTATTTGTGACTTTCCCCAAATCAGTTGCAGTTTCCCACATGTGAACGCTTGGAATCTATATCTAGTTGGCTTTTGTTACCCTTCAAATATAATGCAAGAAAATTCGTAGATAAGCAGTAAAACTGATGTTTGAAAATAAAAAAGCTGAAGCGACGTCCCCAATTAGCAGCCGATTTAAAATATTTGATTTATCGCCTCTGATCCTAATACACTGGAAAATGATTTCTGCAGATAAATGCGCGTAATAGTTATCATCTCTTTATACATAGATAAACACAATTATTGACGTGTATTAGACTCAGAAAGGCGTGAAAAGCTGAAGTCAGTTAAAGACATACAAACTACCGTCTTTGGATTGTACTGTAAACTAGATTGCTAATATGTGGGCACGTTTGATTCAAATATGTTCATTCCAAAGGAAAAGGTGCTAATAAGGTCAAAGCGCAATTAAAACACTTTACTAAGAGATTAGCCATTCAGAGGAAGCCATCCATTCATAAACCACCTATTTTAACCCTGGGATAACTAAACCTGAAATAGTATGTGCACTACACTCAACCTGTGTATGTTGGAGGGGGGAGACAGTGGAAGTGAGGCAGCCAGAAACGTCGCCTAGTCCAATGGCTCTGCAGCCAACGCCTGCCAACTTCCGTTCCCCACTATCATACGTATTGGTTCTCATTCTTCGCATTCCTGTGTACGATGATAACGCATCAAGCTCCCTGTTTCCGCAACTCTCACACACTTTTCTGTTGTTCATAGTTGTCAACTAAGCAGCTGTGATGGTATCGGAGCGAAGCATTTCACTCTTTCCATATGATCCCATCCTTCAAACTGGAGTAGCTAATTATTTCCGTATCCAAGTTACAAAACAGGAGACCACAACACTGTGGTAAAGCACACGGCCGTCGCGTTTAAGTGCATTAATACCCAAATCTGCAATGGACTAAATACTATGCTAATGTAAATCATTTGAGGCACGCGGCTGGCTGTCCGTCAACATGTCCAACCAATCTGTACTTCGGGATATGAACAATTGAATCGTGACTGCTGTCGCGTTAACAGTTGTGCTGAAGTGAACTAAGAAGTATCAGGGATCGCTTTGCTCACCGCCGCTCCGGCAGTCTTCGAAGCACATGATTCGCGGCGATGAGAACAGCAACAACTGGTGGGAGGGAAGCACAGCCACATACCCTCGCAGGCACGAGTGCCCTTGCAACGCGTGCGTGTCCACGCGCCCAAGAGGCCAAGAAAAAAGCAGCTCCATCCTGATTGGCTCCCATTGGCTAATTTTTGTGCGTACATTTGTGGAATTCAAAAAGTTGAGGGCGCGAGGGCGTGTGTGCGTTGAATATGCCCCATCCCGCGCCTACTCTGCGGCACCCAAACACACACACGCACGCACTTGCGCGTGCAATACCATAAGGCTGGAAGAGAGGAAGCTCGCAAAGAGAACGATGGCGCCAGGCCACCTTTAAAACTGGGCAAAAAGGATGTTGCGAGAGAGAACTGAAAGGTGCTAAATCGAGGCCTTCTGCCACAACGAATGGGCTACGAGTAAGGGCACTAGCACAAGGAAAGACAACTTGAAGTGGGTATCGTCTCCACCTTTGGACTTAAAGAAAAGGCGACGAATCGTTAGGCCATTTAGTAATTAGTGGACTTGTACATCGCAGTAACAAACGCCTGCATTATATCTTGCTGTGATTGTGACAAAATGGAAACTTCAAGAGCTTTTCAGCCCACTCTTACAAGTGTAACTCACTGAGGTGAAAAACTCCATCGTATGAAACATTTCTTCATCAAAATGAATCAGAATTACCTTCAGTAGTTTTCTATGAGCTCGATCAGACAAATTCATTACACGAAGCGTGATTGTTTAATTCATTCACCGATGTTTCTTGGCATAGAAAACGAGTATCTGATGTACACTTGTACAAAATATCCCCCTACAGGTGTA